TATAACACGGTAAACCAGAGGCCTGGGGTCAGTTCTTCACACCTCGCTTAAATGATCTAAGATGATTTGGCAGATCCTGGATCTGTTGATCTTGATAACTGATCTCTGGCTAATTTGGTTCTATAAAACTAGTTTGCGAGTCAGACTAAAATGTCTGGATGAGCTGATCTGAGATCGATGTGTGATGTGAAGGACAGATCTCTCCTCAAAATCCCGATCAGCAATGCAGCGACTGGCTGACGGCGCAGCAGACATCATCTGATTCATATTCAATATCCACTGTAAGTGAGCAAAATTATAGAAAATTGACAGTAAATGTTTTGTTGAATATGATACGCATATTTACCCTCTCCACATGTGTTGTGCTCTGCAGGCGCTACTCTTTCATGTGTCCAGAGTGTTCAGCTATTTATTTAGTTTTACAGTTTTTACAGTGTGTGTGTGTGTGTGTGTGTGCACTCACCCAGTTTGAGCTGCAGCTGTAGAGAGTCTGCTCTGGGCTTGAAGGCTCTAGAAAGCTCCACCGTGATCTGGAAGCTCTGTCCTCTGCGCACGATCAGCCGCTCGCTGGAGAAGCCGTCAGTGTGATGCTGCCGCCGGTTCAGGCCATCCCGGAGCCTCAGCAGATCCACAGAGCGCACCGCCAGCACCGAGTCTGACACACACACACATAAACATATCAGACAACTACACACACACACACACACACACACAAACATAAGTAGACCACCTTACTGTACAGAGCCCTGATGGGGACAACACACACACACACACAACTGATGCTGGACTGAGGGGGAGGAGCTACAGCAGCTGATGCTGGACTGAGGGGGAGGAGCTACACCAGCTGATGCTGGACTGAGGGGGAGGAGCTACAGCAGCTGATGCTGGACTGAGGGGGAGGAGCTACCACAGCTGATGCTGGACTGAGGGGGAGGAGCTACAGCAGCTGATGCTGGACTGAGGGGGAGGAGCTACACCAGCTGATGCTGGACTGAGGGGGAGGAGCTACACCAGCTGATGCTGGACTGAGGGGGAGGAGCTACAGCAGCTGATGCTGGACTGAGGGGGAGGAGCTACACCAGCTGATGCTGGACTGAGGGGGAGGAGCTACAGCAGCTGATGCTGGACTGAGGGGGAGGAGCTACAGCAGCTGATGCTGGACTGAGGGGGAGGAGCTACAGCAGCTGATGCTGGAGTGAGGGGGAGGAACCAGACCTTCAGTTTCACTCCTGTGTCTTCATGAACCACCAAAACACACACACACACACACACACACACACACACACACACACACACACACACACACACACACACACACACACACACGGAGGACAAACACATCTCAGTTAATAACAGTGTTTCTGACCTGATGCGGATGCAGATGGAGATATGGATGCTGCTGATACTGCTGCAGGTGCAGGTGCAGATGGGGATGGAGATGCGGTCGCAGCGCTGGGAGCTGGACGTGCCGGAGTGCTGGAGCTGGACATTTCTACAATCAGCCTGAAATACAGAGAGAAAATCAATGAAGAGACAATAAAACAACCAAATAAACACAACGATGATGATGATGATGATGATGATGATGATGATGATGATGATGATGATGATGATGATGATGATGAAGCAGGAACTCAGACAGAGCAAACATTTATAGAACAGATTAAGAACACAACCACAACACAGCTTTACCAGTGTCTGCTGCTGCTCAACACACTACAACACTACAGAAGTCAACATGTGTGTGTGTGTGTGTGTGTGTGTGTGTGTGTGTGTGTGTGTGTGTGTGTGTGTGTGTGTGTCTTCAGAGTATCTTCATTCTAGAGGAGAATTAAACTCTCAGGTTTGGAGGAGATGAGGACAGATTATTGTGTGCGCGTCTCTTTAACAGAATAACCTTCATCATGCTCACAGCTGTGTGCTTCAGTTTAATGATCCACTGAATGAACACGACGTGTACAATAAACACACACTAATTATCACAGGATACAACATAAACATCAAACAAAACGAGCGAGTGAGGATTTATGAGTGTCTGAAATGAAGATCTTCAGTGAGGTTAAACACCATTCAGCACAGAGATTTACATTCCTGTTTAATGCTGTATATCCTCTGACTATCCTGACCACACCGGACAGATGAAGGAGTCTGATCAGCTGATTCAATCATCATCATCATCATCATCATCATCAGAAGGAGAAGGAGAACTTGTGAAGGCTCTTGTGTGTGTAATGTGCTATAATCAGAAACCTGTAGATATATCCAGACAGTAAACAGCAGGACAGAGATTAAGCTGAACTCACTGAAATATAATTATTCAGAGATGATTCCTTGAATTCACTCAATTTTTTTAAGTTATGTGGTTGTAAACAATTTATTTGGGCTGAATTTAAACACACAAATTAAGTTGAACATTATTAAACTACATTTGTTTGTTTAAATTCAACACAAATGAATGAGTTCTGCACGCAACACTATTTTCAGTGAACACAGGTTATGAGGATATTAAAGTCCCGCTGTGTGTTATTAAAGCTGTGTGTTAGTAGAGTTTCACCTGTGTGTGTGTGTGTGTGTGATCAGAGCTGTACCTGTGTGTGTGTAGTCTCTGCAGCAGGTGTGTGTGTTCTCCTGGTTGTCCTCAGTGTGAGCAGCGTCTCCTCTTATATGTGACGCCGCGCCGCTCCTCCTGCATTATTCACATGAACACACTCATGAGAAGTGTATCTCCGGCTCCACACTGCATTATACCACTCATAATCTCCATAATCCCACATAAACACCGCAGCGTGTGAATCACAGGTCAGAGAAACCGGCTCCTAATTACAGACGGAAAAACCAGAAAGATCAGTACTGTCTGCTCACAGCAGGAGGAAAACACTGCAGTCTGATTATCATCACCATTATTCTGATTATTAACACTGCACACGCTTTAAATGTGTTACAAGAGGCTGTTAAAGCGGGATTATTCAAATTTTACTACATTATTATTAACATAAAGTAATATATTAAGTGCGCTGAGCTCCACACATAATCTGTGTGAGTTAGACAACATAAAGGAATCAAGTTGACTCATGACTTTCACTAATATAAGAGACATGAACACTAAACTCTGATGCCGTCCCCAAAACAGTCTGAGGACTAGAGCAGTTTCAGCTCATCTGAAATAAAGAGTTTAAACACACAGCAAACATGCCTATATGAACATCATCAGTGTTTCTATACAGTGTTCCTGTGTTCATGTTAAGAGTAAAACACTTGCATTACTGATATTTGACTATTATTATTATTATTAATATAGTAATATATCAGCACTATATAACACTAGATCATTTTGTAACACTGATAATTATACGACTTTTTCTCAAGGCTTTTAGAAAACATTAGTAATTAAACATAGCAGTACTGCTTTGATTACAGGATTATTAATATATATATATATATATATATATATATATATTAATGTTAACAGTGTTTCTGAACACTTTTAGATTTGGATGATGACACTATGATCATAAGTCAGTTTATTTCATAAACACAGACACATTAAACATGAGTATAAGTGGTTAATTTCACAGGTCAGGCTTCACAATAAGGGTTCATTAGTGTAATTATAAGATGAATAAACGGTGAACAGTTAATAATTATTAATGTCGGTCAATGACAAATGCAGCTGATCACTGTTAGTTGTGGTGAACTCCCACATTAACTAATGATGAGACACAGATTAATAACACACACGTTATAACAATATGTAAGACGTGAGATATCACAGATATTCTGATGTCTTTGACAATTCAGACATGAGTTGAAAACAGACAATCGGCTCCACAACCCAGCAGGCGGGAATGCGGGAAAAACCAGATCCCCTCCATTCCTCCATTTCCATCTGAAACATTTCCCATCTCACACATACGGTCATTTCACAGTCTGAACGTTCCAAATCAACCCGAGTGGCTTAATCCATCATGTCTGATATGATCTGAAATGTGTCAGTGCGGCTGGTACCATGGTGTCATTCCCTCAGAAACAGACATAATCTAAACACTAGATATATAACCTCAGCTGTCTGCTGAACCCCTGTGAAGGGTGTGCCTTACCCACAGGCAAAACTCCTCCACTTCAAGGCGAATGCCTTTTGTTATTCACACACCCCTTTCCTTGAGGGGATTCTTGGATTTATTTCTTAAGGGAAGGTTTCTGAAATGTTCTGCGCAATTCTGTTACCCAGATCAGCCCATAGTGTGAGCTCTAATGCTCCATGCTGTGAGGTCAGCTCTGCATCGTGTAATCTTGGATTTATCTTTGATAGTTTGATGTTTTGTATTGATCGTTAATGATTTTATGTTTTGAATTATTCACAGAGTTTGTGTTATTATCTCTAGTAGATTATGTTAAGTCCATAACACCACAAGCCCCTGTACAGGTTAGTGACGGACTAAAACACAGTAGACGGAGCAGCGCGGCACACTATACGATGTTCTTAGAGCTTCGACTAACACACTGGCATTAATTCATGTATATTTAGACTGTAAAAGCTTATCTAAGGGGATAGAGCTTTATCTGTTAAACTTATAATACTATCTGGACAGTATAGTGATTACTCAAAGGTACTAATAGTTTAAGCACGGCTGGTCTGCTTGATTCTATAGTAATGATCATTATATGACTACATAGCTCTGAGTGATTGAGGAGACAGCAGCTCCGCATGAACAACACCCTGATCTGAGTAAGCAGAGTTCTGCCTGTTGAGGATAGCGGTCAATCGCCACTGTTTAGTGACCAAGACTGACACACTTGTGTTTAAGAGATTGTATACTCGGCCGGTACAAGACTCAGGGTGTTAAAGGGATCTGAATGAAGGAGAATAACATGATAACAATGATGAACTGAAGAGAATATTCAACCATAATCTAAAGTAATGTTGAAGGAACTGAACAATATTATCAATGTTTTATAAATGCAGTCAGATAAAGCGAGGATATATTAATATTCTAAACCCCCTCATGCTGAAATGTGAGTCAGATATGAGTTTAATGTAAATCCACATTGTGTTCTGGAAAGACCGAACATGCAGTGAACCTTCATCCACCAGTGGACACTGTCATTGGACCAACTGGCCGGACTCTACAAATAAACATATTGAATAGTGAAAGCTTACAGTACACTGAAAATCCTACTGAAATAAAACCCAAACATACATTTCTATTAAAATCAATGTGTGTTATGATCAGCACTCGCTCAGTGTTATTACTAACATGCCTGAACAGCAGAGAATGCTCAGTTTAGTGTGTACTGCGCCTTTAAGAGAATACTTCTATAATGATGAATGAAGAGTACACACACACGCACACACACATGCACACACGCACACGCACGCACGCACACACAGACAGATGCTCAGTTCTCTGGATGAGCAGTTTGATATTGGCAGTGATGTTCTGCATTTGCTGTATTTGATGAGCCGGGCCGGACAGACTCTGTGGACATTGTTTGCTGTTTCATGCAGAGAATTTTGTTAAAAAAAGTAATAATATTTGCTGATTTATGCAGAATGGTTTTTAGGATGTTTCAGATGCCTCCTGGATGCCTACCTAGGGAGGTGTTTCAGGCATGTCCCACGCCTCAGGTTCCCTCCAGAGGAGCTGGAGGAAGTGTCTGAGGAGAGGGAAGACAGGGGTTCTCTACTAAGACTGCTGCCCCCGCGACCCGGCCCCGGAAAAGCAGATGAGTATCATAACTATAACACACACACACACACACACACACACACACACACACACACACACACACACACACACACACACACACACACACACACTTCATCCAGAAACCAACATTACACTGAAGTTAATAGATATAACTGTTTCCTTCAGCGTAGTCTCTTTATTCATCAGGGTTCACCACAGCAGAATGAACCGCCAACTATTCCAGCATATATTTTACACAGCGGATGCTCTTCCAGCTGCAACCCAGCACTGGGAAACACCCACACACACTCATACACTTCGGCCAGTGTAGTGGATCAGTTCCCCTATAGTGCATGTGTTTGGACTGTGGGGGAAACCGGAGCATCCGGAGGAAACCCACGCCAACACGGGGAGAACATGCAAACTCCACACAGAAACACCAACTGACCCAGCCGAGACTCAAACCAGAGACCTGTTTGCTGTGAGGACAGTGCTACACCACTGAGCCACCGTGTCACCTTTACTGACAACTGTGAGTAAAATAAATGAAAGTATGATCAATGAGAGAGAGAAGGGAAGAAGCGGAGCTGTGCCTGACTGACAGCACCGAGCTCAGCTGAAGAGCTGAACAGCAGACAGAGCGAGCAGACGAGATGAGTGACCAGCCCCGCTGCTGGAGCTCGACTCAGTCACGAAGCACATCATCAGACACACTCATCACCTAGCTCATCATTTCAGCAGTTCAGAGATTATATTAATTATCATTCCATTCATATTCATAACAGCAGTAATAACAATCGTCATGTGACAAATCTCTCTGAGCGCAGAGTCTGCACTATAATCAAGGAAATGAGCTCCTCAATAAAACCCTGGTGGGAACAGCCGGAGCTGTGAGGTTTGTGAACTGTGGGAAATAAAGTCAGTTTAGCAGAATAAAGTCAAATAGGAGAATATTAAACGTCTGGAGAAATGCAGGACGAACACAGTGAACTGCTGAGCCGAATCTGAAGCTTTGTACAGCTCGACTGAAATCACACTCATGTCCATGCCTGATTAATATATCAGTCTTCATTTATATATCAGTCTCACTTTGTATTTTACAGCAGAAGATACTGAACAGCCTGTAAAGAGATTTAGAAAATAATAAACAACAACAAATGACAAACAATGGAGTGTTATATGAGCTGAGGTGAGCGCTGCAGGCTGAGTGTGTGTCCAGCAGAGGGCGATGATCACACTACAGTGAACTCCAGCTCAGTGATGCAGAGATGCGGCCTTACACCAATGATGAATTAAAATAATGAATAAATCACAATTAGAAATCATTTAACAGTCAAAACAAATAACTGTGCAATAAAAAACATGAACACTGCCTAGCGTATCAATATCTGTCAATAACAAATAATAAATCAGCAAATACAGGCTCAAATATCCACTGCTGACAATACAGATGAAGTACTCTCGGCCACTGACGCCCTGCACTGCCCCAAAACATCCTCCATTCTGCTCTTACTTACTGGCGTGCACATGAGCATCAGTGTGTGTGTGTGTGTGTGTCCACCCTCTGCTCAATGGGCATCACCCCGCTCTGCTAGCTGCAGTCTGACCTCACCAGCAGATCATTCAGAGTCTCCAGGAGCAGAGAGGAACCCAGAGCTCATCATCTCGACACTGAAGTTCCTCAAGGATCCGCTCTGGGTCTCCTACTCTTCTCTATTTACTCCACATCACTGAGAGCCGTCATCCAATCACAGGCTCTCTCTCATCATCGCTACACACAGCTCCATCTGTCATTTCATCCTGATGAGCCCACAGTATCTTACAGAACAGCACTGGCACACACACACATGCACACACACACACACACACACACACGCACACACACACGCACACACACACACACACCCTCTTACCTCCACCTGATGCTGAAGGTCTGCATCCCTCCAGGAGCCTCTGGTCGGGGTGTGAGCGCCACCTTGTGGTTTCATCTCAGAGAGGCTGCAAGTCAGTTTCCAGACGCTTCTCATTCCCTGATCCTCACTGGTGAACGGATCTGCTCATTCCCACACACACTGCTGTCCTCCATAACACAGATAAACCCTTTTCCAAGATCACCTGAGAAATACAAACTCTGAGTGTTCCTCACACAGGTGAGTGGGCTTATCAAACCACCTGTAGAAGCACTTTATTAAACGCTGAAATCCTCCAGCACTGATCATCAGAGCACACACCGCTCCTCTGTGTAATCAGCTCTGTGTGTGTGTGTGTGTGTGTTCCTCTTCTTGTTGATTTACTCGATGCCTCCTCATCTGTAAGTCTGTTTGGACTGCTAAATGCAGCACAGGCTGGTTCTGAAAGCGTAGTCCTGTATACGTTTCTGGAGATGGTGAATGATGTAGTCAGGGGTGTGTATGGCTGCACTTTGATTTTTAGGTGAACGCTTTGGGGCGGTGTGGCGCTGTTCCTATTCACGCTTATACCAGCTGACCGTTACCTCCATATGGACGGCTTTCCGGCTGTTTGTCCCGTTAGCTCATCATGTATGTCAGCAGACTTAAGACACAGAGAGGAGTTGACCACAATCACAGGGTTCGAGTCCAGTGAAGAATGCTCCAGAACGCAGATAAGACAAAAATAGAAGCAAATAAATAAATAAAGAAGTAAATAACAGGGTGTGGGGAAATCTGAAAACCTGCTAAGATCAGACGAGGGCTTTTCTTTTACTGGATTGCTTTGGAAAATTGTTGGTCAGGTTTAGGGAAGGAGGAGGGTGGGTCAGTCGATCGGTCAGTCAGTCAGTCAGTCAACAGCGGCCTCTGGTGGATTTACACAAGAACAGCAGGTGTGAATGGCACTCGCCAGAGAAATCGGAGATCTGTAAAAGTGTACACAGCGCCCTCTGGTGGATCCGCAAAAACAAAAAACCTAGCTCCTGGGACGTATTTGCCGCTCTCCAGAAATGTATACAGAGGTACGTTTTCAGAATGAGTCTGGGTTGGCTACATGACTGTAAATGAGTCTAAAAGAGCTGATTAGAGATCTTTATAAAATAAAACTCCTCCTGCATTTAATGAAGAGAATATCAGACACAGAGCAACACACAGACGGCACTATAAACACCTGTAGACACATTTATTCAGTTCTCAAACACAGTGTTCAGCAGAGCGAGACCAGCACGAGGACGACACACACTCAACAACAGCACAGAGGAACCAACACTGAGGAACCAATACTGGCACAGCAGAACCAATACTGACAGTGAGGAATAATCTTACCCGCAGACGCAGCTAATACAGTGAAGCTAACAGTGCTCAGTGCTAGTTAGTTAGCTGGTTAACACAGTGGACTAGCAGTGAGGTCGGTCAGGTTAGTGGAGACAGAAACACACTTTACTCCAGAATATTCAGGCCCGGTTTAACATTGATGAACATGTGATGAGCAGATAATGTTCACACACACACGCACGCACGCACGCACACACACACTCTTACAGTCTGCGGAGCTCCAGAAGGCGGAACAACAGGACACGCCCACTGAATCACCACAGGCCAATGGCAGCTCAGAGCTGTATCTGCTCACACACGCAGACAGAGCTCAGTGTCAGGTGTGTTTAGTGTCGTGTGTTTGGTGTGAAGTGCAGCGGGGTCTGGATGAGCAGCACATGAGTGTGTGTGAACGCTCTAAACAAACAAACACACACAACACACACAGTAAACACTCTTTGGTTTTGTGAACGAGTCCCTTTCTCTGCTTCTACACTTTAATGACTGTACACCACAGTGTGTGTGTGTGTGTGTGTGTGTGTGTGTGTGTGTGTGTGTTGGGGTGGGGGGGGTATATGTACAGTAGGATGTGTGGACAAACCAAGCACACGTGTGTGTGTGTGTGTGTGTGTGTGTGTGTGTGTGTCTTTGCTACATCTTCATGTGGCCAGCCTCTCATGGTGTGTGTGTGTGTGTGTGTGTGCGTGCTACATTTTCAGGTGGCCAGCTCTGTGTCTGCAAATGAGTGTGTGCGAGTGAGTGTGTGCAAGCGAGTGTGTGTGAGGTCTTCATGTGAGTCCGATCTCCTCCAGGACGCTGCGTGGGGTTTCTGCTTCCTGTGGAAAAAAGCAACACTTCCTTCATCACAGAGGAAAACACATCACACACACACACACACACACACACACACACACACACACACACACACACACACA